TCATATATATATATATATATATATATACACACACACACACACACACACATATATACTTAGTTCCACCTAGCTATAGATAAAACACTTATGCATTAATTCAACCCTTGTCAAAGTTGCAATGATCAGTTTTTATTAAATCTTGTTTGGTGAGGTGTTGATTCATAGCTGCATTTAAGCAACTATTGAGCGCATCAAATTTCCTCCTCCTTGTTTGTCTTTTTTTAAGCGTGGATTCATAAATAATATGAATGCATATCTTTTTCTAGATGCCAATGTATTCGTTTTGAAAGGCAAACCTTTGGTATAAACCATATCAATGCCAAGGACCAGTGAAATAGTGAGAACAGAGTATTCTTATTTCAGCAGGGAGACACTTACCAGCAGAAGAGCAGCCAGTGTATGGCTGTCATTTTGAGCCTGCCTGAGTGCATGAAGACATTTCTCCAACACCTCCATCTGGGCATCAGTCAGACCACCTCCTGCATCCGTCTCTGAGCCTCCATCTTCTCCTCCTCCTCCCTGCTCCTGTTTTACAGGAGGCTGGGTGATCACGGCAAGTGCAACGTCGGCGCCGTCAGCCATTATGACCTCAGCAACTGGGTAACCAAGAGAGGAATTTAAAAAAAAAGAAAAGTAAGCAAAGTGATAGAAAATATAACTGAAAATCGGATCATTGGCTCCACACCGTTGAGGGCAACAATAGCAGCCTAATTTAATGATATTCAGTTGGTTTGCCGAGACATTGTAAGTTACGGTTGGCAACAATGCAACAGATAATTGTAAACGTTTACAAAATAACTTACTTAGTTAACAGATCTATCACGCGTGCGGCGGCAGCAGCTCGCGAGCACTCTCCGGAAGTGAAATGTCAATAGAGCTACGAGAGACCAATGGAAACGTTCGAAGAATGTCGAAGAACCAATCACAGGAGGGATAGTTGGAATGCGGAGACGCCATTTTGGCCGGTGCTGTAACGTCGGAGAAGCGACGCGGCGTTACTTTTTCTAAGGTCACGGAAGACATTTCTATTTTATTTAAAAAAAATCTTCTTAGTTTCTAGCAGTAAGCAACCACGAACATTACTAAAGCTCCGCAGGTTAATGGTTTACGTTGATCTGAACGTTAACCATTCACAGCCGGTCGGCAGGTGGCGCACAGCGGAAGCTTCATGTCAACAGTCTTCAGTTTAAGACGCAGCAGCACAGGCACAACTGAGATATCGTAGGAGCTAGGTGTCTGTGTAATATAAGTCTTGCCTAGTTTGATTTAATACATATTCCGTCCCAGAAATATCACTGTTTTGAACCACTGTGCTTCGGCCGCAAAACGTTGCAGCGGCTGTGTCACTAAGTATTTTATTTTGAAAACCCAGCCACCGGAAATGTGACTTATCACATATACTGGCTTGACAGCGGTTCCACAGGCACATCAGATGTACATGCGAGGGGAATGCTGACCTAATTAACTCTACAAGGGACGACAACAACGACGACGACACACCACAGCGACCGAAGTGAATGTCACTTTACTGTAAGTCCTTGTACACTTTCCTTTGGGTCTTAAATTGTGTCGCGCTAATTGCCATTGAACACGCTCAGGAGGACTCTGTGGTCCCGCACGGTGTGTAGTGAAGGAGATGCCAGCAGTTGTTCGCCTCAAGGTGCCTTAAACAGGAGTGATCACGGGTTTGCGCAGGTGAAACTATCTCAACCTCTGTTTGTACTAACACGTCAGCGTGACTTGAGACAACGACACGAAAACAACATATACGAACGAAGTGTCGTATCGTTGACTCAGAAACGTCCCTCGTGTGTGATAGTGCAGTGGACTACACGTCGCTCTCCGCTTTTATTGAATTATCTGACAGCCAGAGGCATTTACTTCTCGAGTTAAAAAACCCTGACTGTTGTTGTCAGGCTGGTAAGATGCATAATGCACGAGTCCTCCATTTTGGATGAAATGTCTCGGAGATATTATCCCAGCAGTGGGTTTACTAATGCGTTTCATTTGAGTGACAGACCTCCAGTCATGCTGTCAGTCATGCACTTATTTGCGCTTTAATCAGTCAATCAATGCCTGCTCTGCAAGAGTGAATCGTTCTCATTGAGTAAAGCTTAACTCACAATTGTTTTCGTTGTTGCATTGTTTGATCAATTCATCATTTGCTTGATGAAGTGAGAGTGGTTATGGACTCATCCATCAGTTCACATCACGAAAACCATCAATTAGAAAAAAGTGTAAAAAATAAGTGACAAAGAAATACACAACAAAAAAACGTAGAAATATACTTTGCCAACAGCTCATACTGTTATTGCTTTTCCAAAATAAATACAATGCATCAGAAAAGTGACTAAATGGATATTTAAAAAATAACCTAACTACAAGGGGAAAACATCTATAAGAAGATAGAGACTGATGTGTGTGTTTGTATATAATCTGAGGTTTTACTCAGTTTTAAGGCTGACGTGTGTAATCATATATTTTTATTTTAATATGCCTATGCATTTTTTTTTTTGGTGATACTTGCATTGCATCCATTTAAATATTGTTCTACTGTCAGTTTTTGCTGTAAGGATGTTTCTGTAGTTGTCACAGCAAAATGGGAGTATTATTATTATTATTATTATTATTATTATTATTATTATTGTATTGTATACAGAATTTAAAACATAATTTTCCTTCCCTGCAGCAACAAGAAGAAACAATGCGTGGGACTTGGTGTTATTGCAGAGAAAGCTCCACCAACCTGTCTGCCTAGAAACCAACACAGAGCTAACAAGCGTGCTATTGACTGCTGTGACCAAGAGAGAGGAAGAGGAGGAAGCAACAGCCAAATAGAGACACACACACAGAGAGAGAGAGAGCTTGTCCTCTCTGGATATAAGGAGGGTTTTTGGTCACAGAGATCATTGTTTTGCAGAAACTTCTCAAGGGAAAAGTAGCCATTGAAATGTCTATAATGGCTGAGCTGTCATCAGCCCAGGTGCACCTGAGCATTACTGGTGCAGCAAACGCTCAGTCACCACCAGCCTGTGGGCTTTTGCTGCGCAGTAAATCTACCGTGTTGTAGATCGAGGAGGAAAGAACGTGAACAAATCCAACACAGTTTTGTTTTGTCTGGATTATCTTTACCTGGACCTTTTTTCCCCTTGTTTGGTGGCTTACCTTGGAGAGAAAAAACAAGCGCAGGAGGACTAATGACTGTTTGTGAATTTGGGATTTACTGAGCCGTTCATTACGGCACGGAGGGAGGCTGCTGGGGCTCGAGCGTCCATGTGCAGGAATTCAGATCCACATATGGAGGCAGACCTTACAGGTTGGTGTCAGAAGTTGATGTTACGAGAGACTGTGTGAGAGTGCCTGGTGATCACAACAGATGGAATATAGTTGTAACAGATGTGCGTGTGTTTTCAGGTTAAACATTATGATCTGCTAGCATGAAATAACTGAAATGTCCCTGAAGTCATGTGCTTTCTTAAAATCCTTACTACAAAGAAGTAAAAGTACCTCCATCTGCATGTCTTTAAGAACATAGCATCCAGCTAACATCTACAGACTGTCTGCACAGCAGATGCTTGTGAGAGCTGCTTGATTCATTGCTATACTGCCCCATAGTGTTCTTCTGGTGGGACGTTGTGGTGGAAGAGGCTCGCTCACGTCTTGAACAGTGTCCCGGGACTTGTGCTGTTCACTCCTCCTCCTTTTTTATTTTTTTTTTTAGCCCATTCTGCTGGAATAACTTGCATGATAATTTGCAAGGGTGGGGGGGGGAAGTGCAGTATGGCTCTTTTACTCCAAACAACTCCATGTGTTTCTCATCAAATCACGAGTCTGCCTTCCTGAAGCGTTTCTATACTTGAAAAGGACATTTTACTTTTGTACCTCAAGACAACAGATTACCATAAGCGGAAGAACATTATGTGAACGAGTGCTGGACAACAATCTGCATCTTGCTCCTTTTTTTTTTTTTGACTCATTCGGCAAGGTAATTATTCTCCAGCATGACTTCATTATCATGACTAATTACTTTGAAATGAGAAACTTCCTCTTCACACTTCCTGTAGGAAGGGACGTTAAGCGTCCGGAATTTACCACAAGGGTCTGGATGGCCTTTGACTTTGTCTTGAGCACAATTTAACCTGTTTTACATTTTCTGCAGTGCTGTCAAATTGGACAAAGTAACTTTGCATGTGGCGCATACATCAATGGGGGTTTAGGTTCAACCCGTGTATCCCAGTGGGGCTGACCCGTGTCCGATCCTTTTGTTTTTACCCAGAGAGACTTACAACAAGTGCCTCAAAGAACTCACAGAATAGTACAGAGGAACAGTGAGATACAACTGCTGTGTATCGAGCCATGGCTGTGATGGTTGCACAGGAAAGAGATGAGAGCTTTTCTGCGTACAGCAATCCTCTAATGTGTAGTAACCACTACTAGTTTTCACGTTTGTTATGAACATACAGACTGGGTAATAGGTTGTAATGCTGCAAGACAAGATGCAAATGACGGATAAGAGTGCACAGTTATGATTTTTGTATAATGTATTGCAAAATGCCTTTGGCGGAGAGGGACTAGACACCTGTCATCGAAGCATGTAAATGTCCTGATCTCATGCATTTCTGCTTACACTTGTGTATCGCTTGAACTTATAGTAAGGAAGGAGGGAGATCACAGGACCGTGAGTCATGATCCACCTCCATTGAAGTCTCTGTCAACAGGATATCAGCAGAATTGTTGCGTAATGAAACAGACTTGTTGCATTTGTTCAACTCCGCTCAATCAGGGGACTTTTCTTCCTGTAGAAGGCAGATAGAAGATGTCACGGGTTTGTTTCCCACAGACCACCAAACTCGATCATTTATTTATTTTTCCCTTCTTCCTCTGTTTGTTCTTTCTGTTTGTCATCACCATGTTGTGATGTTTGAATCCAATATGTTACATGTGTGTTACTGTAAAGCGAAATGGATCGAAGTAACATTCCTATTAATGTGCGCAGTAAGTCCAGTTGAAGCGGTTTGACTTCATTTGCGTGAACCTTTATCAAGGTTCGACCTTATCAAGTCGACGTGTTATTGGTTGTTCAAATTCTTTGGAGTGCTACTCTAAAGAGCTGAAGCACAGTTGTCTGTAATCAAGGTAGAGACGGAGGAAAAGCCTGAATAATCAGAGGGGGCAGTATGGCTTCAATCACTCTTTACATTTCCTTTTTAAATGTATTAAATCTATTTTTCTGATAACTTCTCCACACTGTTATGCATGACATCAGTAACAATTGTAGTTCATTTTTAATGACAGTTTGTGTGTAATCATTCATTTACACGACAGAATCTTTCAAAACGATAACACAATATGAGTATCATTGATCCCGCTTTTAACTCACTTCCTCTCTTCATCTTTGCGCTCTGTAGTGAGGTGTCTGAGCAGCTGAGCCTGTGAAGGCTCCGGAGGCGGCCATGTTCCATCTCTTCCTCAGAGTGCTGGTGTTGACCCGTCTTCACCCGTTGCCTCACAGCACCTGGCTGCCAACCTAACTCCTCGCTCCTGCTCTCTTCACGCATCTCTTTCTTCCAGCGCCTGGCCGGGAGAAAGGTAAATATGGTGTGTTTTGCAGGATGCTTTTTTTTTTTTTTTTTTTTTTTTTTTTTGGGACGGTGTGCTTGATTACTTTTGGGCAAATATTTGGAAAAAAAGAAAAAGAAACATCCATAGATTGAGTTTGTTTAGTTGTTGTTTTTCCTGTGAGGGATGTGAGGCAGACCAGACTGTAATGGTCGATGTGATGCTGTGAATATTAACCTGCAAGTCTTCATTTCCTCTTGTGTGTTCTCATTACGATACTGAAAGTATTAATGCTCCTCAGATTCCTCAAATATTTTAAATTAGTTAACTTAATGGTACTTCTGTCAGCATCTCAGTACGGGTTCTTGTATACCTTGCAATTTTAAAGGAATAGTTCCACATTATGGGAAACATGTTTATTTGCTTTGTGGCTAAGAGTTAGATGAGAAGATTGACTCCACTCCCTTAAATAAATGGCTACAGTTAGCTTAGCTTAGCATAACGACTGGAAACAGTGGGAAACAGCTAGCCTGGATCTGTCCAAAGATAATACAATTTACCTTCCATCACCTCTAAAATTTACCTTCCATCACTGATTAGCACGTGTTGATCTAGTTTGTTAAATCCGTACAAAAACTGAAGAAACAACGTGGTTTTACAGGTCGGTTGGGCGGACTATTTCATGGCCAGGCCATGACTTCTGTTACCTCTGGACAGAGACAGACTGGCTGTTAACCTTTGTTTCCACTTCTTGTGCTATACGTGTGTTAAATGAATACAGAGATAATATTAAAGCACACTAACCTAGTTCTATTTCCTTTTTTTCTAGGTCCTTGTGTAAAATGTCCTATGCACACCACAAGCTGCTCACCTGGAGCTTACCTCACCTCCTCCTTCTACCGCTGACCTACCTCTTGCTCTTGGCGACTCCCACAGGTAAAACAAACCCTCACTCTGTCCAGAACCAGCAAAACCACACCTGCTGACAGAGAACTGATAAGACATCTCACAACTGTGCCTCATCTCAGCGCTCATCTGCGCTGTAAACTCACACGCCTTTGATTACTCAGGGCCGGGCTTCATCCTCCTTAGTATGACGCTCGGGTGGTGTTTACTGATCCGAGGTGGAGTTCTATAGGACAGCTGGCACCCCCACTGTGTGTTGGTATGTGTGCCTTCTTTCTGATGCCACTCCGCTCAGTGGGTTACAATGTGAAGCAGGACAATAGGGGCTCTGTGAGTGTACATTGTGTATGCGTTTGTGTGTTGAGGGGTGGAGGACAGAAGATTGGATAAGGGGCGGGATGACGAAACAGAGGCCGACGGGTCCTTTCTCAAACACACTATAGTGCTTTTGTGTGTGTGGTTTTGGAAGACCTTTTTTTAATTTTTTCTCCAGACTTGAGTTACACTAATACCCCATAAAGTCAACATTGTTACCATGGTAACGACAACTACGGATACAGCACTGTCTGAGACGATGAACTGTGTTTTTCAGTTTTCAGTTTTTCTTTTGAGACCACCATCACTGTTAGCTCGATCGTGTCTTTAACAGATCTAGAATATTGTTGCTACTCAGTGTTACCAGTGTCGAAATGCAGGTATTACGTTTTTTTTATTCTTATAATAATGCTCTTTTTTTTTTTTTTTCCACATTATTTACTGCTGGCATTTTTCAGATTATAGCCATTCAATGTATTTACATTCTGTATTACCTCTCTATGTAGTAGTTTTCATCGTTCGTGGCAGAGTCCGCCTTTCCTGCGCAGGATTCACATTGCTGAGCTGAGAGGGATGCACGCACGTAATCCAGTGTTACTGTCTGCAATTTAATCTCACTGATATCAGCCTCTCTGACTATTAGATCTGCTTCCCTGTGTCAACCATTCGGAACGGCCCGACAAAAACCAAACAGTGTTAAGTTCTTTCTCATTGTTGTCTCATAGTTTTCGTAATTCAGAGAGTGACTCAGCAGTTTCCCTCCGACCTGGACTGTTATTCAAGGCGAGTTTGGCTTCTGTGTCTGTGTGGACATTTAAGTAGCGGTGAAATATAACCTCTCACTTCTCCCCGTTGTTACTTTTACAGTCTGTGTTTAATAGTCCGTGCTGTTTATTGTGACTCGCTACACACTGACTTTCTTGTCTTGTGCAAAGAATGGATTTAATTGAGCTTTTTCAACACTGCAAAAGCTTGAATAAGAATATAGTTTTATCACCCAGAGCAATGCTCTTGTAGAGTAACACGCACATGCATAGGTACAGCAAACTGTACCAGCTCACCGCACTGCTGATATGGGTCTGATGTGGTCTGGCTCAGAGGGTGGAGTTTCGTGCGTACTGCACACTGTGCTTTGGGTTTTAATCAGTGTCTTGTTTTGTCAGGGAACAGCCTCACTTCCTCTCTCTGCTGTTGACTTGGCTGACTGCTCAATTTGCACCCGCATGTCTGCCTTTCTGAGAAAATGTCCAGTCAAAGCCTGATCCCAGAAAAGTCTCACTGTGGGTTTCACTTTGCCCGTTTGCCTGCGACAATGCCAAGAGCACCCAACAGGCCAACAATGCCCTGATTGATATCAACAAGTGAAATCTTGAAAAAGCCTGGGAAGCGCTGCCTGGTGGCGGATCCATGATGTCGCTTTTGGCAGATCCTTTTGATCAAACTACACGATAAACAAAACTCCTTCTAGAATGTCTCTTCCAGGAAACCAACTGTTATCCTCCCCTTCACCACCTATTTCATGACCAACTTCCATCCCTTTCTTTTAACTATGACCATGTTGCGTCTCTCGCAGTGACTTTAAGTCTTCAACATCAGCACAGTACACGATTGTTTTCTCTTTCCCTCTGTCTCCGTTCCAGGTGTGACAGCAAATCTCTGCCGGGTGACCGGCGGGTTGCTGGGGATCCACTGGAGCAGCGTCATCAGCCTGGGTTGGAACTCTCTGGCCAAGGGGAGAGGCGGGGCGACATGTTGGGAGTCCTGCTGCCTGAATCCGAGCTGCAACGCCGTGTGGAGCCTCGGTGGACAATGCGTGCTCCTTCGCTGCACGCGGAGTACGGGCTGCCCCATCACCTTCCTGCCCCAGCCCCACCAGGAGTCCATCGGCCTCCTTCAGTTGCTCTCAAAGGTATAGAGAGCACTTGCATAGGATGGCATGGGCAGAGTTGTGTGTTTGTTTGTGTGTACACTAATATATCAAATATTTTTCCTGTTGCTTTACTTTAAGAGTCCCGTCATCACAGCAAGACGTAGAAGAGCTCTTCCCGCACAGCTTGAAGGAAGCCACAAGCCGCAGGCGGGAAAACCAACCAGCACGGTAAATTCACAGGACATTGCCAATTTTTTAACTTGATATTGATCTTGTTTTCTTGAAGCAGCCAATTTTGTTCCCCTTTCTTTGTCGTTCTTCCTTAAATGCTGCCCACCCTCATTCTTGCAATCACACTAATCAGTGATAGATTCAGGGAGTGTACAAATAAATAAACCTGGAAGTATGAAGGATTTGTCTCCTTGACGGTTCCCCAAATTCTGCCTCAAATCTGCTCTTTGGATCATTCGAACCTTCAATCTTTAACTGTTTCTACAGGAAAACCCCAAAGTGGAAACGGCTCACCTAACTCCGACAGCACCCAACACCGTCGCGCTGCTTCAAACGGCCCAAAAGAACCAGAGCCAGCCAGCCAACGGGAGTGCAGACATCGCTCCAGCTCCATCAAAGCAGAACTCAACGGACACCGTTGATTCTGCCGCGTCTTCCAACAGCAGTGATGTCAGCACACCCGCGACGCCTGCAACTGCAATCATCACGACGCAAACACAGGCCGGTAAGGAAGCTGCTGTCTGCAGCAGTCGGTGTTGCCTATTTTCAGCCCGTTCAGTAATATGTCTTGTCTTCATTTATGAATTACGAACTGCTGAATAAATAATGTAGCAGCACTGTGGGTTTTGCAGCCTTGGAGGGAAATTTCACACGACTCAAGTCCTGTCTTCACTAAAATTGGTTCATTACATCCTTGTCCGTTTTTTAAGCGTGCATTTTTCTGTCACACGCACAACATTTGCAAATAGGCCGTCTTTGTTTTCGCTTGAGCCAATGTTCGATGAAACGAAATTTACTGGCAGACTGCCCAGATGTTATTTTTCCAGATGAAAGCAACATGTGCTGCGGGTGTGACGACCAATAAGCAATCGGAATGTGCCGAGTCATGCCGGGCTTCTACAAACATGAATAACTCGAATGATCCGTTTCTCCTTCCTGAAGGACAATACAGCGATTAAACTGACAATCATTCACCAAAAGACAAAACATTGCGTGTCATTACAGATTCAATCGTTTTAGCCTTTTCAACTAGCAATATTGTTACAAAGGCAAACCAAAACAAGATGAGCTGGTTTGAATGGAAAGCTGAACGAAGGCCAGATGCATTTTATGAGAAGCTTAGACTTATATAATCAGCAGGAGCTCACTATTCCGAAGGGGAACATCTGTCATTCCCAGTTAGATTGAAAGGGAACGCGATTGGAGTGACATTGTGATCAGTTTACTAGTCATGTGGAGGAGTACTCTGCCTGTGTGAACAGTCATTACCTCTCTTATGGCTCTGAAGGGAGTTTTGTCAAGTCTGAGAAAATAACCCCGACGATGCAATAAGTGGAATGGATGACATACAGCTGCTGTTTACAGGGAAGGGAGGGTTTGGTGAATATAAAACGCAAGGAGTTGCATCATGTAGCATTTTTGCAGCTTGATCCATACTAGGGACTACAAGTGAGGGTATGTCGGCCTCTGCGGCATACATTTTTTTTGTTTGCATTTTTTTATTTTTATTTTTTCTAGATGCATAGCGGTAAAAGTGAATATGCCACGTACGGATGTGCTGAAAGACTGTATTACATCTCGCTGTAAATACTGTTGCACATCATTTCTCCTACCGCATCCCCAAAACATCCCCATCACCTACTTTGACCCCCAAGTACATGCATCTGTGAGACCTGTTTTAATTTGTCTACCCAATAGATCATAATGAAGTGATCATTTTATCTGTTACTATACACTTAATGTGTAAACGGCCCCCAGGGGGTGTTATTTATTCCTCTCTTGTTAAATACTCTGCTCTCTGAGATGTTTGTGTCTGTCGCTTGTACTTTAAACCATCTGATCCTGTTTTTTTCCACGACAGTGAGGGAGCTGGTGGTGTCAGCAGGAGAGAGTGTGGAGGTCACGTTGCCCCGCAACGAGGTCGAGCTCAACGCCTTCGTGGTCTCAACGCCCCCACCAGGTGAAATCATGGAAATATTCGATAAGCTATTGCAGTTCATCACCTGGAAACTTGTTATTTCGGCAGTTTTCTGCAGAAATGTCATTAATATGTAGCATAATTGTATTACACATGTAGGTTGATTTTTTTTTTTTTTTTTAATTATTTTTCTTCTAATTATTTTCCAGAGTATAGATGATTCCAGAGTAATCAAAAGCTTTCCAGTCTAGAAATATCTGGAAAAGGAATTTGACTTCAATGTATTCTAATTGCAGACTGGGTGTGGTTTAGCAGTTTGTGATATTTGTGTTGTTCAGCAATAGAGCAATGAAATAAAACCTGTTTGTATTACTGAGTCGTCATCAACGCACTGTCCTTCACACTGAACACTCGCCAGAGTATTCCAAATCCAGACTGGAAAAAGGAAGATTACACAGTTACCAAGAGGGATGCACGTCATCGTTCTGTTAATCTCTTGATCCCTTCTCGACACGCTCCGACGATCCCAAAAATCTCTCATCTGTGAATGATCCTTATTTGATAAGATTGTAATTAAATGCACAAGCGGTTTTGTTTATCGTTGCCGTTTCTTTACAGGGACAAACTATGCATTTAACTGGCGTCTGATAACTCATCCCAAAGATTACAGTGGGGTGATGGACGGGAAGCACAGCCAGACACTAAAACTCAGCAAGGTACAGATCACAACTTATTCACACACAACATATTCATGTCCTGCTAAAAATAGCATGCAGCTGGAGCTCTATTCAATGTGTAAACAGAAGGTTTCAGTTGTGTGTAAAGGACCCAGATCATCTCAAAAAAAGATCACTTCCTCTTACTGCTTGCTTGACTTCCTCTCTCTCTCTCTCTCTCTCTCTCTCTCTCTTCCCCCCCCCAGCTGACTGTGGGCCTGTATGCGTTTGAGGTGATGGTGGACGGGGAGGGGGCTCATGGAGAAGGTTACGTCAATGTCACAGTCAAGCCAGGTGAGGTCGAACATGTCAAACCTCGTTCATATTGTGGCAGTCTCAGAAGTTGTTGGGGGGGGGGGGGTGTTTGTGTTTCTGTCCCATTTCAAAACAAACCAAGGTCGGTCCCAAGATCTGGGCCACTTTCATATGTGGTCCTAAATACGATACATATCCGATCACTGACCATACGACCGCTGTGAGAACGGTCATATCGAAATGAATGTGTGTGTGTCTGTCCACATTAAACTTAACTATGCAGACGCAGATCACTCACCATACAGTGTTGGAGCCGTTCTACAGAAGACGTATCTCTCTCTCTCTCCACAGAACTGAGCGGCAGTGCGTCATTGCTTATCAGACACTGATAACTGACCAAAAATACTTTTTCTATATTACCGAGTTCTTCTGCTACATTGGGTGTCGTGTTTCGCTCAGTAGAACTCAGATTTGAAACATCAGCAGTTATAAAAGACGGGGGAAACCCAGATCTGTTAAATTGAGCAGTATGTGGACTCCAACCGCTCCAGTGTGTGTTATCGGACCAATGAGCCGGTCGAGCGGCAGTCCCCCATGTGTGTTACGTTAATGGCTGCATACGAGGCGTTTCAGGGCAGAAGTCCGTTCAGATATGAGTCACTTCAAACATGGATGTGAGCAGTCTAGGCTGAATGATTGGATCTGGGGAACAAATCTGAATTGAGCATGAAGCCCTGTAATGTGACCGTAGCCTTTGATGCTGCTAAACACATTGCAATATTATGGTGGATAGGAGGTTGTGTGGATCCGAGCCTATCTATTCATGCAATCTAGCTATAATTGTGTCATCCTGATTGTCCATACTGTAATTTACCTTTTTCTTTTTCTTCCTCTTCCATTTTTGTTTTATTTATGAATAGTTTTTCCTTATCTGAATCGAGGGCCGAAGGACAGCGAGTCATATGCTGTACAGATTGTAAAGCCCTGTGAGGCAAATTTGTGATTTACAAAAATCACAATGACATAAGGCAAACATGGGAAAGCATATGCAAAGCAAAACTGTGGCTCACACAAAAAAAAAAATGTTTGAGGACAGAACGATTGAAATGTGACATGGTTCTTATTTTAACCAGGGCCTGCATGTAGTTATCTGTGCGGTGCTTTCTTTTATGGAAATTTGCGGATTGGTAATAACGGTGTCCAATAGTCCACATGCTGATTCTAATAAGATAATGAATATTATAGTGTGTGGCTCCTCTGCTGCAGTAGGCGTCCAGAAGGGCATGACTAACGTCGGATGGTGTTGTCTTCCCTAAGTGTCGGATGTGAATGATCAGTAATCAGTCCACAGGCCTGCCTCATGTTGACTAAATAAAGGTTACTGCAGCCTGCCTCAGTCCCACACAGCTGACCCACGGCGCCAGTGAAGCAACTTCATTTCTTGCTTTCCACCTGACAGAGCCGCGGGTAAACAAGCCTCCTGTTGCCGTAGTTTCCCCAAAGTTCCAGGAGATCTCCTTGCCAACCAGCTCCACGGTCATCGACGGCAGCCGTGAGTGTCCCACACGGCGCACACAAACATATTAACCAGCAGCTAAAGAGAGACAGAGAGAGAGCTTGTAGGTAGAAAGTTATCCTGTTGCAACATTTAATACATACGCCTCCTTCCCCCTGTGTCCTCCTACCTTCTCTCCTCCTCACAGAGAGCACAGACGATGACAAGGTGGTGGCTTGGCACTGGGAAGACGGTAAAGGTCCCCTGTGGGGGGCGAAAGTCTCTACTGACAGCCCCGTCCTCACCCTCACCAACCTGGTGCCCGGGAACTACGCATTCATGTACAGACGGCTTTGACATTGTTTAAACTTTACGAGGTCCAAAAGTTTCTCGTGTGTTTTTTTTTTTTTTTTTTTTAGATAAACATCCCACTCAAGAATTTACAAAGATAAATACGTAGATAATAAGAAGAAGAAATTTCTGTCAGGGTTTTTCATACTGGGCCTCTTTTTTTTTTTTTTTTTTTTTTTCTTTCTCTACATGTCTGTCATAAGTATATATCTTTAAAAGCAGAAGCACAGCTGGCTTAAAGTATGGTTTTATAGACGTGTGTTTTTATTTAAGTCATGTGTGTAATTATTAGATTTTTGTTTGCTATACAGTTTTACTATTTAACCTAATGGATGTCCTTTCTCAGTTTAACAGTGACGGACTCAGACGGAGCCACAAACTCGACACAGGCCACCCTCTTGGTCAACAAAGCCAAGGACTACCGGCCTGTGGCCAACGCCGGCGCGAACCAGGTCAGAAGTTCTTTCCATCGTCGTGGATCTGTCTTTTTAAAGCACCAAACCAACGTTTTTTTTTTTTTTTGTACTCGTATGAATGTGAAGTAGCTTACTTAAACTTGAAAAATGTAAAGATGTCAAAATGCATTTTTTTCAACCAAACCAGTACCCTCCATGGTAACCAATTGCTGGTCTTTCCTCTGACTTCATCCAGGTCATCCAGTTGCCACGCAACTCCATCACTCTGTATGGCAACCAAAGCACCGACGACCACGACTCCCTGTCCTACGAGTGGTCCCTCAGCCCTGAGAGCAAAGACAAGGTGGTGGAGATGCAGGTGAGATACTGGCAGAGTACGCATATTATTAACTCTCATGTTACTTCAGTTTTCTTTTCCCCGGATAAACGAATTGTGGCTGACAGCGGCATCTTTTTGTGCTCTTCCAGGGTGTACGGACGCCGATCTTGCAGCTGTCGGCTATGCAGGAGGGAGACTACACCCTCCAGCTGACAGTGACGGACTCCTCCGGACAGCAGGAAACGGCGCAGGTCACCGTCATTGTGCAGCCAGGTAAACAGCTGGAGAGCAAGAAAAGATCTCCTGTTTATGCCACCTCAGCACTTTTGAGTAATGTCTTCATTGAAACGTTGAGAGGAATATTTGGTTATTCAGCTGCTGAGGACATTAATTACAGTTCCCTACAACTGTTACTCTTTTCTTACTTAATTTGATAGTCATTAACTCTTTTTTTTTTTTTAAGCCCATTTGTTCAGCTGTGTGCAGTTAAGCTCTGTGTAAAGACAGACTAGAGTTAAACTCCTTATCTCAACATTCCTCCTGCACTCAATATGCCCTCTGTACCAGCTCCTGTTTGCTTTCCCTCTCTTCCACAGGTTATATACACATCAAGTGTGAAGAGCATACTAAGCAACAGTACATAATGTAGCTTTATACATGGCCCATACAATGTGTGAAGCTGAGGTCAGTACTTAAGCTGCTGCAAGGGAATTCAATTTGCTTACACTTTGGTCAATAGCATTTTGCCCTGTTGAGTAGGAGGTGCACGTGTGTGGACGTGTGTGCATGTGTACGGTTGACCTGATAAGCACCTGGTGTGAACTATAAAATGCAAACACACACTGGCGTGGTGCTCTTGTAGAGTTTGAACAGGAACTGTTATGTGAACTCTCATCCACCTGCAAGGTCAGACTATGTCAACCATTTGAGTAATGATCTGTGAAAGAAACACTTTGACCTTTTGTTTTTATATTATTTATGACTGTTTTTTTTTTTTTTTTCTGGGATGTTATTCGTTATTAATTGTTTTTTTAAGATAGAATTGTCTTTTTCAAGAATACATTCTCACTTTTGATTGAAATATTTACGGAGACATATTAGAGCCGTTGTAGATCGGTGTTTGTCGCGTCACTTTGCAAGGTTGGATAAACGTCATCACACCACAGTCGCCAACATTAAACACCGCAGTAACATGAGCCGCAAAATATATGAATAATATCAGTATTTATTTATCTTCATCAAAGAACACAGAAGGAACAGGAAAGGAAATGCGTGTATGTATCTTTCAGGACCTACACTTGGCCAGGGGCCAATTTACCATAAGAACGCTCCTCTAAGAGCAAGAGTTTTTCTCGCAAAGTTATGACTTCATAATCTCAGAAAATATTTAATTAATTTATCGTGAATTAGTGAGGGTTTTTTCTCGTAAATTTGCCACTTTTATCCAGAAAATATCTCTAAATTTACGACATTAATCTTGGAAATTCTGAGTATTTTCTACTCTTTTGTCTCTGTAATTACTATTGATTTTACTCACAATGGCCCTAATACGTCATCGTCAACATTGGTCCATATGCAAAACCATTGAGTTGCACTGTTGATGAAGGAGGATGTGCTTTGTCGGCACATTAAGGATGGAAGAAGTATGTCATTGGTTTTCATTCAAGCATTTAAGGACAACCAGACACTTTTGACAGCCATTATCCCTCTTACTACTGTATCTGTCATGTGGGTTGTACGATGGAGATGTGTTTTTAGTTTCATCTGTCTCTCCGTCCTCCAGAAAACAATAAGCCACCAGTAGCAGATGCAGGACCGGAGAAAGAGCTGACGCTGCCTGTTGATCGAACCACGCTGGATGGCAGTAAGAGCACCGACGACCAGAAGATAGTCTCCTACCACTGGAAGCAATCCAAGTGAGTCAGACGCACTTATGTACATAATTGCGCAGGCAGTTTGCATCGGCTGCAGGCTCCTAGTCGATGCAATAACTGAAACCTAGTCATTCAAATGTATTGTATGTATCCAAATGTACAAAAGAAACTGATTTCAAAACAAACTCTGCTACAGTGTCCACGGTTTATCCGTCCTTCTGCGGTACATTCTCTTCCTCACTCCTCCTTCCTGTTTCTGTCCGTCTGTCCCTCCATCAGGGGTCCTGACGGTGTGAAGGTTGAGAATGCAGACACCGCCGTTGCCACGGTGACGGGTCTTGAGGTCGGCACGTACGAGTTCACCCTGACCGTAGCTGATGAGAGGAAGCTGCAGAGTAGCCACGCTGTGACGGTCATCGTCAGAGAAGGTCAGGAGATTTGAATACATAGTTAGCTGAGCTTCCAGTCGGACTGGTGAGAATTATATTAATTTATAATTAAGGAGGCATTATAGGTAGAGGTTCTTGTTCAGAAATACTGTACAACACACATACTGATCCTATAGACGCATGATTATAAACACTTACTCACACAATCAGATGTCCATTATCACACATAGTTACATACACCCACAAACTCGCTGATGATAATTCAAAGCATGTTAAAAGCCACAATAAGAACAGTCTTAAATCCATCTATTATTCATGTCGTAATCTCATTATTGTGTCTGAATTCTTGCATAATATTTTTTTCTGGTAGAACTGGACCAGCCGCCAGTGGCTCACGTTGTGTCGAGTCCACCCATCGCTCTGCCCGTCAGGACCGGCACTCTCGATGGATCTCACTCCACTGACGACAAAGGTGGAGTCGGCTACCTGTGGACCAGAGATGACAGCAGTCCTGCTGCGGGGGTGAGACTTGGCCTTTGACTGAATTTTACACACGAGTGGATGGAATATAGAAACTAGAGAAAATTCCACCTTAGAAAGACCTTACAACACATTCAAACAGAAACATTGTAACACTTCTTTGTCTCTTTGTTCCAATAGGAAGTACTGAACAACTCTGACCACCAGGCGGTGCTGTTTCTGGGAAACCTGGTGCAGGGGAAGTACAGCTTCACCCTGACTGTAACGGACAGTAAGGGACAGACCAGCACTGACAGCGGCACAGTGGAGGTCAAACCAGGTGAAGTGGAAAAAACAGAGAAAACTGTTCTATTACTCTTTCTATGTTATTGTGTTTGCTCTATCCACTGCCACATACTGAACATGTTCAGAGTGGGTATATCGTAAGGTAAATTACAGCATTTCATCACGGCCCTCTTTGGAGGATTTGGAGTTTATTTTTTGCATGCAAATGTTTTCCACACAGCAAGAGACTCAACAACCAGCATCAGAAGGTTGAGCAGGTCAGTGTGCAGCATACGGTGCACGGACACAAACGCAGCCAGAAACTAATCCGTCACTTGGGGCTCTGGCCTCTTTCCCAGATTGCAGAGTGTCAGACGAGTCCTGCAATCAGTCTCCTGTTTTTCTCCTCTTTTGCTTTAATCTTCAATCTCACCTTTTTTCTCTCTCTCTGTTTATCAGACATATGGGAGCGTGACCTGGTGGAGTTGGTGCTGGAGGTCTCTGTCTCCCAGGTATCCCACCGTCAGCGCGACATGCTGCTGCGCCAGGTGGGCGTTTTACTGGGCGTGCTCGACAGTGACATCACCGTGCGAGAGATCAGTGCGTTTAATGAGCACAGGTACTGCACCTTTTTTGATGCTTGACTTTAAGTTTTATTTCTGGCCTGAAATCCCTTGATTTTTGTAAAAAAAAACAAAAAACAAAAAAAAAACACTGGCAATGAAGCGCATAGCTATAAACGCTGGAATAAGACTTTGGCTCGATTAGTGGACATCACTATGTCGGTAAAAAAGCGTTTTTCTCTATTTCCTGCCTCCTCAGTACTCGTCTGATCTTCCTGGTGTCGGGCGGTCCGGGGCGTCCTCCTCTGTCAGGCCGCAGCGTTGCACTTAGCCTCGGCAACAAACTGCGCAAACAGAAGAATGACTTTCTGATCTACAAGGCCCGACGAGTGGATACAGTCAGTGAGTACTTGGCAAATATAGTTTCTAAGAAAAACACACAACAATGAAAAAGGAGTATTGAGAATTTCGAATGAATGTTGTAAGCAGAATTAAGTGCTACTTGTTCACCGTTATCTCATCCCATGCCCCTGTTTATGTTCTATGATACGCACAAGTTATGCTGTTGCTCCTTAGTTCTCCGTTTCCTTTCTGTAAGATAATCTACCACTCTTGGGATATTAACGCTTTAGTATATTTGACTGTACACTCTGCTGTGCCGCTCTCCTTCCTCAGTCTGCCAGATGAACTGCTCGAGTCACGGCGAGTGTGACACGTTCACACGGCGCTGTGTCTGCCACCCGTTCTGGATGGAGAACTTCATCAGAGCTCAGCTTGGAGATGCAGAGAGCAATTGCGGTGAGATGAGATGAATCTTAGTTGAATAATTTTCGCTTGGTGCATCAGACAAACACTGCGATTGAGCTCATAAGGCTTTAATCTCCTTCATGTTCTATGTATTCCGTGACTTAGTAATAACAAACTTTGCTTTTGAGTCAAACAAATATTTATTTTTCAGAGTGGAGCGTCCTCTATGTGACTATAGCATCCTTCATGATCGTGGTTGCTATTGCGACATTTGTCTGGGGGATGGTGTGTTGCTGCAACAGGTGAGCTAAACGTCTGAGGACACATACAGTAAATGCATCATTTCCGTTCTCTTGGGACCGTGTTTTACCCACTTCTTATAACTACTGATGATTGATACAAAAATGGAGTCATGAGGATAGTAAACAACGTACGTAGGAACACAAAAACATGCTGTTTTTCAAGTCACATGCTGTCACTACACAAGTTATGTATGAAGAAGCAAGAAATAAGTTACTTCCTGGCAACATACAGAACATGTTCTCAGACGGAGACGGAGGTTCAAACCTAGAAGGTCTCAGTCCTGAGGTTGTCACTCTCAGGACTGAGATGCTTGTTGATGTTGCGGTCATTATTGCTTTTTTGTGTTTTATAAAATAAGAACCTTATTTATGTGTATATGTGATAAACGTTGAGTTCATCTTTAAGTTATAGAAAGGGGCAGGACCTTCTGCCTACTCCTTTTCGAACATTATTGTTATTTATTTATTTAGAATTTGCTGTATATTTTTACTGTTTTTATTGGTTGTTCCTGATTTGTTTTCTTATGTTACATGTTCAAAATAGTTTTTATTTTATCTAATCTAATGATATTTGGTGTGGTGTTTTTTTTTTTTTTTTTTTCCCTGGAAGGCGTAAGAGCAAAGTGCGCAGAAGCAAAAGCAGGTATAAAATGCTAGAAGCTGATGAGCGAGACAGTCTGGAGCTACAACCACCTAGAGCTGGTAAGACTCACACACACAAACTATCACCACCACTCATGTAGTTCATTAAATTAAATATTCTGCTTTGATACAGCATCAATTTGACATCCTTTCGTTTCCTTCCGTCCTCCTTCCCCTCCGCCTCCTGCCAGCCCGCATGAAGCCGGTGCCCGCTCCCACCTCCTCCGCCCTCATGCACTCAGACTCTGACCTGGACAGTGACGACGGGCAGGGCGGGGTCCCGTGGACGGAGCAGGAGCGCGGGCATCTCCTGCGGCCCCAGAACGGCTCCCTGAGGAACGGCCAGGGGCCGGGGAGGGGCAAGAAGCAAAGAGAAGAGCTGCTATAGCAAGAGAAGAGGGGGAGAACAGCCATCATCACCCCCCCCCCCTATCTAAAAAGATAAAAACACATTTTATTTTATCTA